CCCCCCCCCCCTCTCCCCCTCTCCTCCCGCTTGCGCCACCTATGCTAACCAGTTTCAATTTAAAGGGCCGTCACAACTCTTTTCCGTTAATCGGTACTGTCACAGGGTACACAGGATCTTAGTAGCAAAAAAATCTTCTCCAGGTTTCGCGCATGTGTCATGTGGTTTAATTTTTTCCTCGTTTTAATTTTAATTTGTTTTAGTTTTATTATCATACATTATCATACCCAAACCTGAAAGGAAAAAAATTGAATCTATTCATTAAACCAAGGATAATAGGGAGCTTAAGCAACGACGACGCGGACGGCAACGAGAACGGCAAAAAAGCAATACGTTTATATTAGCAAAACAACAACTTTGCACGTGAATCACGCTTTTTGTACATTTCTTTGCCGTCGTTGCCCGACTACAACGTGAAAATGCCTGAATTCACGTTTTGTCGAGGACGGGAACACAAGACAACAACTTTCTTTTCTTTCCCTGAACTTTGATACAGTCCTTTAGAATTCAACTCCAAAAACATTTGCCAAGATTTGCCGAAGTAAACGAGATGGAATAAGTGAGATAAAGTTTGAAGCCGTCGCCGTCGTTGTTGCTTAAGCTCCCCGATATTGAACCAGAACGTACGTACTGTACATCATGATATCGGGGAGCAATATGACTTAGTGGAATCCTATTCGGTTGTAAGCATACGAGTGATGAACAAAACTCGACCATTGTGCGTAAGGGTAGTCCGATTTTACAGATCCTTTTAGAGGACACGAAGTTCTGTTAACAATCAATCACGTGCATCACGCTTTTTTGTACATTTCTTTGCTGTCACTGCACGACTGCGACGTGAATTGCCTAATTTCACGTTTTATCGACAACGTGAACATACGACGACGAATTTCTCTTTCTCTCTTTAAACTTGAACATTTTTCTTAACAATTCAACTCCATGAAAGTTTGCCTACATTGGACAAAGTGAGTGAGTTGGGATAATCGCGCTGAAGTTTCAAAGAACGCGAAGTCACTTTTTAGGTGACGTTTTCGCCGCCGTCGCCGTTGTGGTATCTTATATCTTAAACTCCCTAATCAGAGCATGCGCTTGTGCTGTTGGTCTTGACCGGCAAAGGGGTCAACGTTTTTTCTCATTAAAACGCCCAGTCGCGTTGACTGCAATATACGTTTCTGGGAAACTGTCCACCTACCCTTCCCCTAAGCCAAAATTTTGCCTTAAGTGAGAAGCAAGTGTTGGTGTTGACTTAGGGGAGGGGTAGGTAGGCAGTTTCCCAGAAACGTATAATGATCCCGTGTTGACTCGGCTGGAAGGGTGACCCTTCTACCAGGAAGTGGTTTTCACATTTACCGCGTCTAAATTGATGACGTTAATCGTAACAATTCAACTCCATGAAAGTTTGCCTACACTGGACAAAGTGAGTGAGTTGGGATAATCGCGCTGAAGTTTCAAAGAACGCGAAGTCACTTTTTAGGTGACGTTTTCGCCGCCGTCGCCGTTGTGGTATCTTATATCTTAAACTCCCTAATCAGAGCATGCGCTTGTGCTGTTGGTCTTGACCGGCAAAGGGGTCAACGTTTTTTCTCATTAAAACGCCCAGTCGCGTTGACTGCAATATACGTTTCTGGGAAACTGTCCACCTACCCTTCCCCTAAGCCAAAATTTTGCCCTAAGTGAGAAGCAAGTGTTGGTGTTGACTTAGGGGAGGGGTAGGTAGGCAGTTTCCCAGAAACGTATAATGATCCCGTGTTGACTCGGCTGGAAGGGTGACCCTTCTACCAGGAAGTGGTTTTCACATTTACCGCGTCTAAATTGATGACGTTAATCGTAACAATTTAACTCCATGAAAGTTTGCCTACACTGGACAAAGTGAGTGAGTTGGGATAATCGCGCTGAAGTTTCAAAGAACGCGAAGTCACTTTTTAAGTGACGTTTTCGCCGCCGACGTCGTTGTGGTATCTTATATCTTATACTCCCTAATCAGAGCATGCGCGAGTGCTGTTGGTCCTGACCGGCAAAGGGGTCAACATTTCAAGTGTTGAACTAAGCTCTCATTTTTGCCCCAGATCCTCTAAAACAGTTGAATGCTGAAAAGAGGATTTTGCTTCTGATCCATGACATAGTTTTTGCATATTGTTCGGTTTTCTTGATGGCAATCATCTCCGCTAGTCGACTGTGATACCTTATGCATTCTCTTCCCATACCGCCAGTTGTTGTAAACACTAAGGCCTAAATGTTGCATGCTCAATGTTGAGAACTCTTCTTGAATACAGACGTTTTTTTCCCGTTTTCATGCATACGGTTGTTGCGGTTCGAGATCCTTATACGATTCGGCATTTGGGTGGCAGACCCTGACATCATAGACTGCCGATCGTTGGTTCTCCCAGAACCCACATGCGTGGATATCCAATCTCGCATCTTGTACTTCGTTAGACCCTCTAAGCTACTCAACCGTTTCCCCCGAAATGACTGGCTCGGTTTCCACATCGTTCCTAGCAAAGCGAGGCTCGAAGCGCCGAGCGAAGTGAGTTTATAATCTCGTCACGCGCTTTGCGTATTTCTAGTTTATATAGTGCATTTGGCCGTGGAAAGTTTGAAGGAAAACGTCGTTTGAAGCTAGGGGAGCAGTTTTCTTTAAAAAAAATAGATTTTAGGAAAGTAAGCAAGTTTTGGTGGTAAAAGGCGTAACTTGAAATCAGTTTATCGCATCTGAAGAAAAAATTTAAAACTTTGCACGCCGGAGCAAAGCGGGGTGCGTGAATTACATTACCTCGATTTTTGCTCTTATTTTGAAATGACCTTTTGAAACTAATGGTTCACATCGCTTCTATTTTCTCTGTAAAATACTTCGAAATTTATCGTCAAAAACATTCCTTGATGGTTACAACGCGACGGCCGAACAACAGGACCAAGTTTGTTTTGTTGCGGTTCTGATGCTAGGCAACTGTGCGGACACCATCGCGCAGTGATACAGAAAGATCGGTACGTTACCGACCCAGGCGCGATTACGTGCGGCAAATGTCGACAGATTTACAAGTCTCGCTACGCGAGGAATAGCAATGTTGTATCGGTGCTTAGCAAAACTTATAACACCAAGCGGAAATTAGACCGTACACAGACCTTATTTCATTAACAGGCTAAGCGGAAATGAGAATCGAAGGACGTTTTAAAAATGTATTTGATCAGTCCTCTGCTTTACATACTTTTAAGTTGTTTTTCGCTCGGACATCTGACATGACTATTTTCCTAAAATATCAAATATTCGAGGAAATGCCTGTAGATTAATTACTTCACGTTTGTTGTTCCTTTTTTCCTAAAACATGTAATGACAATAAAGGTCACTTTAACAAATGTGTGGATCTAAATTCTATTAAATGTTGTGCTTTTTTCTTTCACGGATTCTGTTTTAGAAACTGTAATTTTTTTTAATGCGCGGAAAGTAGTTGGCAACAGGTCAATACCGACAAAAATGTATATTCGTTTTTGCCCGAGATTGTGTGACAAATTTGAATTAACAATTAACTAACGCTCGTGTAACAAGTCTCGCATAGTTTGTAGTAACTATGACCCTCGTGAAAATGTCTGTAAAAATGGTATCTTCCATCGTCTCTCGTCCTTCGTCTATCGTCCGTCTATCGTCCAGAATCTATCGTCTGGGTTTTAGCACATGCCCACAGGGCTGTGTCAAAAGAAATAATAAAGTGATTTTAATGACATTAGGCCAACTAGCAACGACGTATTTACGATAACGCAGGTGTAATATTTTGCTATCACCTCCCAAACTATTAACAAACATTACAACGGCAAGGATTGGGCAGAGGCACCCATCCTTTTCGCATTCGCTCTATTTTAACTTGAGAGCTTATGACGCATGGGTCCCAACCCTCTTTCGAGGTTGATCAGTCCACACACGGTAAGTGCGCTTCATAACGCAAGCAGAGTGAAGGTGGATCGTCCGTAATGTTGGTAGATCCGAAGCCCTTTCTCCAGCACGACCTGTGAGATCAGACTAAGTAAGGACGTACGCATTCCAATATCTCTACACAAAGTTTCAGCACTCTGGACTGCGAGTTCAGTGTCACACATTGTCAATATCGGGTATTACCCCTTTCACCCATTGGCGAATTGCCGGAGAGTCATAGTACTGACGCTTCCCCTCGAGTCGTTCTGTCAGATCAGCGTTATCCGCCACAATAGTAGCGTCGATCACAAAGGCGGTTTTGCGTAACCCATGGATCACTAGGTCAGGTCTACATACACCTGCCAGAGTTTGAATGGCTGGCTCGATCAGGACACTCCAACCCTTCTTGCGAGCATTGGACGCTACAACCTTAACAACTTTATTGTGTCGTGCCACACGGGAAGCATGCGTTCTCGGACACACCTGTAAGATGTGCCCGAGCGATCCAACCCTCCGCATGCATCACTGGTGCTAATTGCGGCCACGCACCCCCTCGTTGCTCTTAACGGCACCTTCATCAAGTTTCCCGTTAACTTGATCTCACCGATGTAATCGACACCTGTCAAGGCACAATTCGGTTTCTCAAGTCACTGATGTTGTTGTGGCACCTGTGAAGCCAGGGTTTGTCGACGAAAGACAATCGTGTTGTAAGTGGGAAGTATGCAGAATTTCAAGAACCGGAAATTGTAATACAAACTAAGTACCTCATATAGTTAGTCCTGTCAAAAAAAAAAAATAGAATCTACAACACTTCAACTAAATCAAAAGGCATAAAGCGCTTGCAAACAGTATTAACAATAAACAATGGCATGTGATCCGTTGAAAGACTTTGAAAGGTCGACGCATGCTATTGGTCAATACGGGTTATTGACAGATTTGCTGCTGTTGAAATGCTTTGATCGTTCGAGCTGGTAATCAAAATTATTCCTGCGCTTTAAGTGCTACACATCTTGCTTAATTTTATGACCTGTCGAAATCACAGGAAAGAGCCGTTTTACCTTATAGCTCTTCCTAAAATGGCCAGACTTGCGTACAGCACGCGCTTAGCACTTTATCTAACTACGATGATATTACTTGAAAAAGCTGACTCAAGAGTGCAGGGCATAGCCTCTCCAAATGCAGTAACGCTTGACAGTGATTCTTCGATAGCGGTTTTATCTAAGACTGCAAGGGAACTTCCCGATAAATTTATCCAGTGGCCTAATCAGCAGCAGCAGCAGCAGGGTTGCATTGACTACCATGACCAAGACGACATGTCTGAAGATTCTGCCATGTACTCGCTGAGAATCGAGATAATCAAGGCAAAGATACTGGCAAAACTGCAGAGGGACAAAGTACCGGTAATAAAAGAAAAACCAATGGAAAGTAAAATTAAAGAGCTACTAGCAAGTTTGAACCTCACTGGAGAAGATGACGTAGACGAGAAAAAGGAAGAGGAAGAACGAGACTACTTTGGAAGGACCACTAAGATCATAGTATTTAGCGAGAAAGATAGGAGGTGTAGTCAACTACCCTGCGAAGAGAGTCTCCTTCGATCCTCCTAGATAAGTCGGTCTAGGAAAGATCGAAGCGACTCTGCTAGCAGGGTAGTAGTCAACAGTTGTTTTGGTATTTTGACTCGATTGTTATATCGGAACGTTTCTCCTTAGACACACCATATCGAGGTCATGCCCTGGCCCCAGTACGGTATTGTGATTGACATTTTCTCGCAGGTTTCTGTAAAGTGGCTTGGTCAAGAGAGCAACAGCTAAAAAATTTACTAACAATGCATGGTTGCCAAGAATGATGCAATGCCCATTCAAAAAAACCACTCCGTTGAAAAAAAAGCTCACAACTGCTGCGAATTTAAAAGCCAATACAGTGCGATATCTGACTCATTCGAACTGCCGGCCAGATCGCGGAATGAATAACCCTAAAATCGCCGAAAACGAAAACGATCGATCAATGCCCTGCTAAAAATCCACATGGCTCCGCCTTTTATATATGTTAAAGATCCAATGTTCTGTCTTCAAATAAACGGAAAAGCAGTCTGGGAATCGTGACAAGTTTGAACTGAGTGGGGCGAAAAATTAAAGCTCGACTGACTGAAAAGGGACTGCTCGCAGTCTATTTAGGGACATTCCCTCATGTTTATTCAATGTTAAGGTCGAGTAATGAACAAAAACAGTTTAAACTGAACGATTTTATGTGTCGTTACGAACTGGTAGAAATTCACGGTGCCTGAGCCGAAGAAGAGTGAGAGAGAGAGCGAAACGTTCACAGTCTCTGTCTCTTCAGTTGCTGTATCCCAAGCTCTCAAATAAGCCGATCAGTTTATTGATCCTGCACATCGCATGACAAGCGTGGCCTTCCATTTGTGTGCGGCGGTGTCACTCGTGCTCATAATTGTACCTCTCGTCGCCCAACAAGGTACTAATAAGGCTATATTTACACTTTATATTATTTAAGAGACCCATTATAAAGTTACATACCGGTGAAATAGATAAGTGCTTGCTTGATCAATAAGCCACACTTCCATGCTGAATTTATGAACATGCAAAATAGTGAAATACCGATACCGTGACCCTCCTAAAATAGCGGCCTAAAATCTGATGTCTCAATGGGGTTAACCGATAGGCGTAAAACGGCCAAAAATTTAGTCGATAGCCGTAAAAATTAAAAAAATTTTAACCTTTAGCCGTAAATAGGGTAAAAAAGAGTTAACCGCAAAAGAAATTGTTCCCGAGATTTGTTAATTTTAAGGAAGATGCTAAACTCACTTATTTCCCAGCTACTGCCGGACTCCGTACGCACGTCAGGCGAAGTGCCTTTAAGGTGTTGACCAAGACCTAGGCTCCATTTCCGCCGCTCTCTCGGGGAACTAATTTTTTCCAAAGCGAAAGTGTGGCTTCTTGTTGGGGATTAATATTTGCGATTTTCAGGAGGTCGTACCCTCGAAACACCATAAAACAACACGCAGAGATGTCACTGTGTGTAAAATATAGCCAATAAACAACAATTCCCTGTTTTTCTCTGACGCTATGGTAGACATTGCCATGCTTAGTCCCTGTACGGCGCCTTCCCACGCAATCTCGGTCCAGGCATTTGGTGGCGAACTCGCTCGGACCACGTGACCCGAAAAGCATTAGCCGAGCGGACTGAGGCTTACGGACAAGGCAACGGCAGACAGTCGTTCCGTACAGTCCTTCGCTATCATTATAAACACTGGACACCGGAATTTTGTTGTTGGCCGTTTTCACACAAGAGCTAGAAATGGATTATCCGTCTGAGACTAGCCTTTGTACAGTCGCACTGTCCCCACACACACCCCTTTTCCGATTTTTTCCGAGGGAAGAGGGCGGCTGCACACAGACTATCTGAGACGGATAATCCATCTTCAAACTGTCCGTCAAAATTGATGGATAACGTCAGGCGGATTGTTCATTCAAAATTAAAACTATTCCATTTTCAAATTAAGACGTACTACCTATCTGACACGAATCATCAATATAAACGGATAACCCGTTTCACGCGAATAATCCGTCTCTAGTGTGAAAACGGCCATTTCTGTTATAATGAATGTCGCCCCCCGGCCTTGAGTTGGGCGTTCGCGTGTCTTCTTTTGATTTTTCACAAATTAAAGATTATTTTTAAATTGAATATTGACATTTCCATGGGTAAAATAATATTAGAAGTGGAATACTTTATAAAAAGTATGATCTATCAAATGTTAAAATCTTTCAAACGAACAGCTTACTTTATCCCGAGATGATCCGAAGACCTTTATTTTGCTTTAAAGATACAAAAAATACAGGTTAATTAATATTTAACTCTTTGAAACAAATGAAATTAATTTTTAACTTTTTTGTTAACCGTAACTGAAAAAATTAACCGATAGCCGTAAAAGAGCCAAAATTTTAGCCGATAACCGTAAAAGCCACCACCCTATTGAGACCCTCTTTTAGAAGCTGGTACTTTTCCAAGGAGCTTATTTGATTTGTTTGTTGTCACTCTACACTTAGTGAAAAGTTTCTTTATTGAAGAAATCGCATCTTTCTAAATAAATGTGATAATAAATATGACGAACTAATTTTCCTTTTTTAGCATCGAGGAGAATTCATGCATGAACGAGGTGCTCTCGTCACTCACTGTAGTATACCAGTTTTCGAAACCGTGTTATTCGAGTTGGGCTTAAATCGAATGTAACTTAAACGCAGTTTTACATAAAACAAGAATTTGTGAAACCAATTCTGGAACAGTTACTAATTATAAGAAGAACTTAAAAAATGTCTCCAAGAATCTTGCGAAGAATGTTCCTCGCAAGCAAAATTGGCAACGAGGAGCCTTGAGATGCCAAGAGTTCCTGTGAATACAAAATAGTTGTTAAGATAATTATGAGCGATTCTTTCAACTGCCAATCGACCTTACTTTGCTCTCGTACTAGGCACTTAAACCGCTTATCAGTAAGTTCCTTTGATTCGAAGGGACACGTCGGAAATCACTTCAAAATATAAACATTACTTTTGTCCAATTCGCGGTTTTAAGCCCAAAGGATTTGTATTTGGTCATACTCTCTCAGCTTTCGTTCGTCAGACGTAGTTAATCGATAAACTGATAATCGATATTAATCGATAGTAATCGATATCAATCATCGATCGATTTCCGATATCGATCGATAGAAATCGATACAGAAAAAAATCTGACTTCGATTAAATCGTTGATGTTTTTTATCGATTGTTATCGATTACTATCTATTCCTATCGATTGTTATATATCCGAAAGATTGTGATCGATGTTGTTAATGATAATAATCGATAAATTATTTCATTTTCTGTGACTTCGATTTCTATCGATTTCCGATACCAATCGATATTAATCGGCGGATTAAGTCAATTAATTTCCGATATCGATTTTTATCGATTAACTACGTCTGGCGCTCGAGACATCAAGTATTTTCTTTACGGACACAAGAACAGAATAGCCCACGTTCGATATAATAAAATTCTAACATGACTCCGAGGCCTTAGGGTCAAAATTGGAAACTTTTTACGACTCCATTGTCTCGCAATTACCAGAAGAGAATTGAGCTCAAAGAAAACCAAACCAAAATAGAGAAAAATGACTAGAAAGCCTCGGACACATGTTAGATTTTTAATATATCGAACGTGGACTATTGTATTGTTCAGACTGCTTTGACGACTAAACTGGGTAAGTGGCGGTATTGAGGTCACGCTATCAGTCGTTATATATGACATAATGTAAAGCTGCGTTTTACAATTCGCCACTTGCACATCTGCCATAATGCCTCCCCCCCCCCCCCCCCCCCCCCCCCATGTACTTTTGTATTGTTCAGACTGCTTTGGCAGTTGAAACTGGTTAGTGGCCGGTATGAGGTCCCCCTATCAGTCGTTTTTAATTACATAATTTAAAGCTGCCTTTTCCAATTTCCCACTTGCACATCTGCCAAAATGCCTCCCCCCCCCCCCCCCCCCTCCAAAAAAAAGAAAATTACAAAACCTTTGCTTTTCATTTCTCCTGAGAATTGCAGCCGTCCCAAGAGAAATTAAAAACAATGCTAGTGCAAAATAAGGTGCATTATCGTAGATTTGCAAGTGGCGAATAGAGAATTTTCCAGTCAGAGTTGATTCTTTGTTCCATCACTTGTTGCACAGTGCTACGCAGCACATCATTATATAATACACCCTTCACATGCTTTCTTCGCCACAATTAACCAACTATAAAATTACAAACCCGGCCACGATTTGTTTCGCCAGGCCTTGTAGCTTAGTTGGTAGAGCAACAGTGGATCTAATCCTGGTATTGCGGTTTCGAATCCCACCGGTAGAAAAGGCCGGATTAATCCAGTTTTTTTCAACTTTCAGGACAACCCCCAAGAGAAGAATGCCGCGACAAAACACCTTCAACCCTCTTACAGCCTCCGCGAAATAGCTACTTTGTGTCAAAAGATAAACCCTTAAAACTGACATGGGAAGCAAAATACGTATGCAATATTGACATCACTTGTGATGAAAATAAATTTGATGGGGGAGACAGAAGAGTCGGGACAAGTACTTGTGAACCTTGTAAAACACAGAAGGAGACGATGACAATAAGAATTTCTGATTTCCAGAAAGGTGTCTGGACCATGAGGTGTCAGGCTACATTCTCGGGCATACACTCCACCAAGACGGAGATCATAACTTTGACGAAAGTCTGTAAGTATTATTAAGATATACGTTGTCGGTGTAAAGCTTTCTAAAATCCTCATAGTTAACACTGTTGTTGCTTCAGCTTCCTCGTCGCATTTGATTTCTAATTCAGCGTCTGCTTCAATGTCAATGTCACAATCTCCGTCAGTCTCGGCGTCTATCTCAGTATCTGCCTCAACAGCAACGTCACATTCCATGTCAACATCAATTTCGCAGTCAATGTCAACGTCATTGTCGCCAACTACCTCAGCTTCGGCGTCAACCTCAGTGTCTGCCTCAACATCAGTGTCGCCGTCAACATCAGTCTCGGCATTAACATCAGTGTCTGCCTCAACATCGATGTCACATTCCATGTC